GTAAATGTTAACCGAAATTCTGAAAAATGTTTTCGATCCGCAGGGACCTAATTAAATTTTGGTGCATCACAATCCAAAGGTATTTCAGTCACACCAGGATTCCAGCTTTGGAATGCACTTCCTTTCGTTTACAAAAAAACACAGTCAGTAAAAATGAGCGCTTAAGAAACATGCATTTTTCCACTAATTTTTACTGTACCGGTAAGTACCAGTATATTTTTTATTAGAAACGTGTTTAAAAAATTTTTCCTTTTACCCATTTGGTAGTAGATTATATCTTATAATTTTACATGAAAGAAAGGATATGTTTATGTGTTAAACTGTTTGTAGTTTGATTTCCTAAGGCCATGGAATGTCCATCCAAATATCATGGTCTCCTTTTATTAAAGTTACTTAGGGAGATTTCGATCTGTTCCACCCTTATTACAAACATTTTCTGAGACCTATATGGTATCTTCTTAATGGCATAGAGGACTGCGTGATTATTCTAACGTGGAAAGTATACAGCTTGTAGACTGTAAAGCACAAACGCAAATTTACCCATGAAAACTTGCCCTTTCGTTCAGCATAACACTTCAAGAAGACAGCATATTTTACCTAGTGAAGGCAAGAAATAGTATTCTTAGCAATATTTTCTGTAAAAAAATACTTGAATATATAGGGGCATCGGAAGCCTATAGTGGCTACCTACGGCTTAAGTAGTCATTTTTAGTGAGTGTGGTTTTGTACGATAAGCAGTAGTGCCTTGTTTTAGTTCCTAATCAGTTAATACGCCAAATTGGAGTAATCGAATCAGAACAAAGCTTTTCAGACTCGATCGGCAAAAAACACGGTAATTTTTCGGCGAAAATTCCTTTTCTCGTGATTCTTCTATATTGTGCAGTATCACCTAAAAGCAAATCACACAAAAACATCTTAACAAACGTTTAAGTGGCTTTTTTAGTGGATCTTTGACGATTGCGCATATGCTCAAAGTTTTTTGGGTATGGTGAAATAGAACAGTTTTTTTCAGTGTGTGATTTAGCCATCGAACCGAATTACAAATCGGAATTCTTCGAGAAAATAGAGGTTATGCTTTTCATAAAAGGGTGTGATCATACTTCATCGGAAAACCCAAAGTCTACAATGTCAAAAGTTGTGTGGGTAAATCATTCTGGTATAGAGAGTAGTGTTCTTTAGTAGGAAAACCTGCGCTCAAATACACGAAGTGACCCTAAACTGTGCAAGAATTACGAACTTTTGTTAATAATATAACTTGGAAACGTATTCTGCATCGTACAAGATGATTTACATAAAGGCTCAAACCTTAGATGTGCATTAGACTCCCTATGTCATAAAATGACAACCGGAATTCCGAAGTCTGTTTTCATTTCGAACAACTTACTTACGTAGAGTTGTAATATTGATAATCGCGCAGTCTAATCTCAAGGCATTTCCGTCAGAGCAGCATGCCAGCTTTTGGAGGAGTTTAGTTCTGAGCCTTTGTAAGAAGTATACTCTATGAAAAACGGCTAATTAAGTAATTTGCATTTTACTCGGTGATTCATAATGCTCTTATAAATTCTAATATATTTTATAGAAAATATAAATCAAGATATCTTCCATTGTACTCGTTTGATGACAAGTTAGCATTATTCAAATGTTGCACACGGATAAATGGTATCTTGTTTTAAACCGTACAATGTGCATTCACAGTACGTCGCATCCGTCAAATTATTACTGTTGCCTGTAAATTATGTAACATTATTCACATACATTGTTATTAGTACATATGTGTACACCGATCATATGCAGGGCACACCCAACTTAAGTAATTTTTTTCGAATCAAAACCACATTTCAGAATTTCGATTGACCTTTCATGAGATAAGTATTCCACTGAATTACTTTAGTTCCGTTAACCCTCCCCCCCCCTCGGTCTTTGCATATTTTCATTTTGGTAATTTTATTTTGAAAGTAGGTACACAGAAGTACAAAGCCTATTTCAAGAACTTTAATAATTCTTAATGAATATTGTATAGGGTTTCCATATATCAAAAATGATTTACTTTAGATAGAAAGCAACATTTGGACTGAAATTTTTTAATCTACTCTGTTTGCTCCATGTTTTTTGATCTCGAATAGTGCATCAGCTGAATAAAGCCGATGTTCCGATTTTTGAACCTGCAAACCTTTTGCAAGTTAAATGTCAAAATACATTCTGTTAGAACCCTCTGACTCACCAAATTGAGAGTTTCTTTAACATGCGACTAAGTGAATTGAATTACTCATTTGATTAATCCTATCTCCGCAGCCCGTTCCCCATCCCCCCCGTATGCTAACAGGCGTAACTGGTACCTCTCTGCGTGTGTGTGTGTGTGTGTGTGTGTGTGTGTGTGTGTGTGTGT